TGATAATCGAATTTTTCTGATGCAATGATTCGGTATTTACAAAATGATTTAACAATTGAAAAATGTGCTATTTATTTTTTTATTTTGAGAATAAAGTTCCTAAGGCTAATATGAGCCTTTTAAGGAACAACTACATAGAATTTATTTTTGATTTAATTTAAAATGGCTGACCTGATAAGTAGGATGAATTTAAAAGAAATCTAGAGTTTTAAATTTTTTGTTCGTTGGTTTCAAAATTTTTTATCATGATTTTGACACCATATTAGTAATTAGCGACATCGAAAACTCCCGAGTAGGTAATTTCAAGAAATTTCGATTGCTTTTTTAAAAAACAGTCAGCCATATTGGATTTCGAAAATCTGACATCAGAATCGTAATCAGCGACCCCGAAAACCCCCAAGTAACTAATTTCTTGTGAATTCGTTCAATATTTTAAAATTCATCCGCCATATTGGATCCTCCATTTTGAATTTTTAAAAACTAATGCCCGAATCGTAATCAGTAACCCCGAATAGAAACAATAGGAATAATGAATATAATAATATAAATAAATATAACATTAAGGTTAATTAATCTGTGGAAATTTATTAAATTTTTTTGAAAATAATTGAATTCCTAAAAAGCATTTTATTATTTGTGACAATACTTCAATTCTTGCGAACGATTTTATTAGAATTTTATTAAATAATTGAATTCCCAAGAAGAAATTTATTATGTACTTTTAAAAATAATTGAATTCTTATGGCGAATTTTATAAAAATCCATTTAAATAATTGAATTTCTGTGGAAATTTTTTATTTATGAAAATAATTGAATTTTGGATGAATTTTATTAATTTTTCATAAATAATTGAATTATTTTGCGAAATTTTGTGAAAATAGTAGATATTGAAAATAATTGAATTTCGAATATTTTTTTGAGATTTATAGAATCATTTTAAAGAATTTGATTATAATTTTTGAGAATAGTTTTTTGATTTCTAGTACATATTACACCGCCGTAGGTGTACGGAACCCTAAAAATAAAAAATTATTAAGAATTATCAAAAATTCGAATAACCGCGAATTTCTTAAAATTTAATATTTTTTCTTCTGTTTTATAACATTTAGATTCATTATTTTTGTGCTTTTGGAAAATACTTTACTTATTTAATAGTCTCGACTCTTTGGTAAAAAATCTAAAATTATTGAAAATTATAAAAAATTCAAAAATCCGAATTTCTTAAAATTCATCATTTTTTTCTCTCTTTTATGGCATTTAGCTTCATTATTTTTGTGCTTTTGGAAAATACTTTACTTATTAAATAGTCTCGACTCTTTGGTAAAAAATCTAAAATTATCGAAAATTATAAAAAATTCAAAAATCCGAATTTCTTAAAATTCAACATTTTTTCTCCTTTTTTATTGCATTTGGCTTCATTATTTTTGTGCTTTTGGAAAATACTTTACTTATTAAATAGTCTCGACTCTTTGGTAAAAAATCTAAAATTATTGAAAATTATAAAAAATTCAAAAATCCGAATTTCTTAAAATTCAACATTTTTTCTCCTTTTTTATTGCATTTAGCTTTATTATTTTTGTGCTTTTGAAAAATACTTTACTTATTTAATAGTCTCGACTCTTTGGTAAAAAATCTAAAATTATCGAAAATTATAAAAAATTCAAAATTCCGAATTTCTTAAAATTCAACATTTTTTCTCCTTTTTTATTGCATTTGGCTTCATTATTTTTGTTCTTTTGGAAAATACTTTACTTATTTAATAGTCTCGACTCTTTGGTAAAAAATCTAAAATTATAGAAAATTATCAAAAATTCAAAAATCCGAATTTCTTAAAATTTAACATTTTTTCTCCTTTTTTATTGCATTTGGCTTTATTATTTTTGTGCTTCTGGAAAATACTTTACTTTTTAAATTGTCTCGACTCTATGGTAAAAAATCTAAAATTATCAAAAATTATCAAAAATTCAAAAATCCGATTTTCTTAAAATTCAACATTTTTTCTTCTCTTTTATGGCATTTAGCTTCATTATTTTTGTGCTTTTGGAAAATACTTTACTTATTAAATAGTCTCGACTCTTTGGTAAAAAATCTAAAATTATCGAAAATTATAAAAAATTCAAAAATCCGAATTTCTTAAAATTCAACATTTTTTCTCCTTTTTTATTGCATTTGGCTTCATTATTTTTGTGCTTTTGGAAAATACTTTACTTATTTAATAGTCTCGAATCTTTGGTAAAAAATCTGAAATTATCGAAAATTATCAAAAATTCAAAAATCCGAATTTTTTAAAATTCAACATTTTTTCCTCTCTTTTATGGGATTTAGGTTTGTTATTTTTGTGCTTTTGGAAAATACTTTACTTATTTAATAATCTTGACTCTTTGGTAAAAAAATCTAAAATTATCGAAAATTATAAAAAATTCAAAAATCCGAATTTCTTAAAATTCAACATTTTTTCCTCTCTTTTATGGAATTTAGGTTTGTTATTTTTGTGCTTTTG